GTTTTGCACTCTCAGCCTCTGCTCTCACACACACACACACACACACACACAGACACACACTCCTGCGCATATAGACATCACTGTATTTTGGCCACTGGAATACACACTGAAATTAATTAATTACTGATTGATTTTAAAAGAAAGTTTTGATTTTAAAAGAAAGTTTAATTCATTTCATAAGACACCATATTTGATGATACATCATCAAATCATTGAAAATCATAAAACATAGAATCAAGAAAAATATAATAAAATATAATATAATTTTTTTTTAAAAAACACGCACACTTTATGGAAAAATAAAACAATGTTGGGCCCTAAATTAAAAGGTAGCTTACTCTGTGTAATGTATTCCAAAGGGTAAAGGATTTAGGAAATCGAAAATAGTTCCTTGGTGGAATGAAGCATGTAAATATAAGAAATGAAAGGAAAGCATTTAGGAAATTGAAGAGAACACATCATTTCCAAAATTTAGTTAAGTATAAAGTGACTCAAGCAGTAGTAGGAGAATGGTATTGTTCAATACCTTTATTTGTCCCCTCAGTGGGGCAATTGATTTCACAGCATACACTCAAAAAAATAATATGTTGGCTTTAATTAATTTTAATTTGTCAACAGGTTCCACATAACTGGATTACATTAAACAAACATGTTTGTGTTTTGTTTATGTAACTTCAACATAATGGAATTATGTAATTTTAAATTACCCAATTTAAGTCTCAACATGAATTTTTAAAGGCTTCCTGACATGATTCAAAGGCATTTTATTATATTCATTCATCCATGTATATTTCATTTGATTCAGTGACATTTAACTAAGTTAATTGACTTTAGCTAGCTATTTGTTAACAGAAGCACATACCTTGAATGGCCATCCCCAAAGATCCACAAGCATCAGTGAAAATGTACAACCCCAATACAACAAGATAGCGCACTTAGTGTAGAATGTTTTTAGCATGATATTTTTGCTCACTAAAACAAATATTGGTTACTAATCAGTTTGTTTTCTCGCAGTTTATAATATTTTCATAATAGCCATCGTCCAGCCCTAAAACTTTATAGTTTTTTGTTGTTTTTTTTTGGTCAGTGTTTAATTAAAAACATCCAATAATGCAGAATATGCAATGATAAATATTTAATTGATGAGTTGTTAATATATATAACAATACATAATATATGGGTATGCTTTTACAGCTAAATTCAGCATATTGACTCAAAATGATAACTGCAAATCCACCTTTCGCTGACTGGAGTCCAGTTGTTTCTGTGAATTGCAGCGATCCATTTGCTTTTTTGTCAAATCTAGTTGTACAGTCAATCGCAAAGCTCTTTCCCACTTTGTATTGTGTTTTATTTATTTATTTTATTGAGAAATAAATCAAAATACAATAAGTACAAAATACAGTATATACAGTATATAAGAGGAATGCTTCACATGACAGATATCATATTGAAACATGTTTAAACAAATAAACAGGAATAACAAAAACAAAGGAGAAGAAGAAGAAAAAATACAAATAAAAACTAAATAAATATACATAAAAAAGCTCAATATTTCTTTCTTTTCATAGACACTTTTAATGTTCATATAATTTGGTAAACTAAGTGGGGGCATTAATTACAATATGAAGAATTCCTCCATAAAGTTTAACTACATTTCATTCTTTTTATTTTTAACTAATTTAAGTGACTTCCTCAGCGAATGTTGTGTTTGTTTTTCGCGGCATTCAAACTGAAAACATGACGTCGCGATAGTTCGCGCTAGAGCGCTCAGAGCCGTTGGAATGCACGTGACACGTCACTTTTAGAACTTCATTTTACGTCACAGTAGACTGGAGTATATTGAACAATGAAAGTCACTTTTTCAGTTTGTAGGTAGTAGAAGATTTGGATTATCTGTTATCAGAGTGAATTTTGTAGGTAGAAGTTTTGGATTATCTGTTATCAGAGTGACAACGTATTTATCATGGGACAGCTAAATTCACGACCGAACACGGAGTGCGTACGCGAACCCTGTGTACTTCTCAAATACACCACCAACACGGCAGAAAACCATTCTCATCGGCTTGATGAGACTGTTGGGACTGGTGAGATTGATGGAGGGAGAGAGGAGAAAATGAGCTGGAGGAGATGGCCCACTCTCCACTTTCGTCGTCGAAGAGCTGCAAAATACGACCTGGCTCAGGCTGAGAAAGACTTCCAGAATAATTCGGGATTATATCGGAGATTTGGCCAAGCACTGCACTTAGCCTTTTTAGGGCGGTATTGATTAATGGATGATTCTTCATAATAAATGAGAACTATTTGCTGTCATTATGACATCCATTTTAAAGGAGCAGTCCGTAACTTTTGGCGCTCTAGCGGTTAATAAACAGAACCAGTTGGACAGTTGTCCTTCTTTGCTCTTGGATGAAGATCTCACCTTGTGATAGGCCAGGACTGCTCCAGATGTTTGCGTTGACCATGTACAGGTCGCTGTCTGAGGGATAAGCTCCGCACACCATTGCAAACAGCAGGATGCCTAGAGACCACACTGTCGTCGGCTTGGCGTAGTACTTGTCGTAGAACTCGACCTCTGGAGGACAGAACAGCTCTGTGCCTGGAGGAAAAAGATCATGTCTGATATTTAATACATTTCCACAGCATGTTGACCATACATAATGAACAAAGCGATCATAATGTTCATAATACATACCACTGAAGACATCGAAGGCAGTGTTCTTCATGAGTGCACCGCACCCAAAGTCAATCAACTTGACCTCCATGGTGTCCAGGTTCACCAGGAAGTTCTCCAGTTTGATGTCACGATGGAAGACACCACGCTCGCATGAAATTTGAGCAGCACGAACGGCCTGCCGCATAACATGCCGCGCAGTCTGCTCTTAGAGGATCCCTCCATGGAGCTCCACGAAACTAAACAAGTCCATGCAAGGAGATGGCCGTTCCATGACCATGATGTAGTGGTCTGAGTCGTCCTCCCAGTCCAGTAGTTTAATGATCTCAGGAACCTGGTGACCCTTGTTGGCCATCAATGTCAGGCCGATTTCATTGGGGAGGGGTTTGCGGTGACCAGGCTAAAAGAAAGACAATGTGACCGTTAGATGGAGGTGGTTTCCCAATTAAGGACTTAGTCCACAAATTAATAGAAAAGGTTATAAATAGATAGATAGCACAGCATACTCACCACTTTGACGTATGGCATTTCTGGAAACTTGAGTGAAAACTTCACAGCCACCTGAGCAACAAAACCAAGATTTACCAATTAGTGTGTGCACAGAAATTAGTCATATCATAGCAAACATAAATCCTGAACAGATATGTAGAAAAAGGAATAAAAAGAAACCTTAAGTCCATCCACGCGTCGAGTTCCTTCGTAGACCGAGCCAAATCCTCCTTCGCCCAGCTTCTGGCCAATTTCATAAAACTCGCAAATGGGGCCTAATAAAAGAAACAATAACAGTTAGTATGAAATTAAATTATATCTATACATTTTATTTTATAAGTTATAATTTTTTTAAATCTGATTGACTTGTTCTTACTCTTGAGCAGGACATTCAGCTCTGACTGTTCCTCCTCTGGCTGTTCCTCGGCAGCAGGGAGGACTTCAGAAGTTGGAGCTATATGTTAAACAAAAATAATGAACAAAATTAGAGAGGTTCTTTATGTACACTTAAAAAAAATGGAGTAAATTCAAAAACTCAGAAAATGCTAGTAAATTTACAAAGATTTGCCAAGTAAAAACCTAAACAAATTTATCAGTAGCTTTAATTAGAGATCTTTAAGTTAAATTTACATGGAATATGGAATTAAGTAAACTTTACGGAAAATAAGTAATTTTAACTCGGCTAGTTAAAGGTTGATTAATACCGATTTCCTTTGCATTACATTTCACTTAAACAATAATATTGAATTTTATTTGTCATTTATAGTATGTGTTCTAGATCATCTACGTAATTTATATTACATCATCAGATGTTAAGCATCATGTGAACGCAAAGACCTCAATACTTGGTAGACAATACACATTTCATGGGTCGTTTTTTGTGTTTGAATGCGTCATTTTGAGCAAAAAAAATACTCAAAATATCACAAAATGGCAAGTTACTAATACTGACAACAAAAATCAATGATAAAACAGTGTAACTACAGCTGGAAAACGGTGAAAAATGAACCTCAGTAATTATTCAAGGTCCAGTGCATGATGGGAACCCCAGTATCAGAAAAATTTAGTCAGTTTTACTTAATTTTAATGAGTTGATTTTACACTTTAATTTCTACTAGCTTGAATTAAGTACTGATATGGAATTTACTTAGTTTTTTTTTTTTTTTTTTTTTTATTCTTGCCTGAACTAACTTTTTCATGTAAATTACATTGTTGTTTTTAGGATTTACTTCACCAAAAAAAAATCATTTTTTACATTGTAGGGGCACTTGAATTCAACTTCTCTAAAAATGCAAATCTATTTGTTGCCGAATTTAAATTCTCACATACTGACTGGTTTTGTAATGGCATCTAATCAAACTACTCTCAAATCATGCCATGATCAAAATCTTTCTTTTCATTTTTGATTTGCAACTTTAAAGCTACTGTCCGTTCAAAATTAAAACAATCATGAACCCTTTTTCCAAACCGTGTTTGTGTCTTATCCCGAATTGAATCACTATGGTACACCAATAAGTGTTTATATTTGGACTATTCTAGACTGGTTCGGGTGTTATGCGGCAGGCCGTTCGTGCTGCTCAAATTTCATGCGAGCGTGGTGTCTTCCATCGTGACATCAAACTGGAGAACTTCCTGGTGAACCTGGACACCATGGAGGTCAAGTTGATTGACTTTGGGTGCGGTGCACTCATGAAGAACACTGCCTTCGATGTCTTCAGTGGTATGTATTATGAACATTATGACCGCTTTGTTCATTATGTATGGTCAACATGCTGTGGAAATGTATTAAATATCAAACATAATCTTTTTCCTCCAGGCACAGAGCTGTTCTGTCCTCCAGAGGTCGAGTTCTACGGCAAGTACTACGCCAAGCCGACGACAGTGTGGTCTCTAGGCATCCTGCTGTTTGCAATGGTGTGCGGAGCTTATCCCTCAGACAGCGACCTGTACATGATCAACTCAAACATCTGGAGCAGTCCTGGCCTATCACAAGGTGAGATCATCCAAGAGCAAAGAAGGACAACTGTCCAAGAGCTTTAAAATAGTGCATATATGTAAATGACATGTTAAGGTTCATAATGTAATCTCTCTTGTCTTTTTGCACAGAGTGCTGCCAGATGATTTGTGATTGTCTGCAACCTTGGCAACAGCAAAGACCCATTCTGAAGAAGATGCATCTCCACGACTGGTTTAAGGTTAGGTTAGCTTAAGTTTTTCAGGGCCCGAGCACCGATGGTGAGAGGACCCTATTGTTTTGGCTCTAGTATGGTCATTTTTTTTAGCTAGCAGATATCAACATGAAACTTTCCCAGTTGATTACCTACATTAAGATGAGAAAAAAAAATTCACAAGTTTTGTGTAATTTTATGTTTAAATATGCAAATGAGGCATTATCTAATTAAATGTGCACTAATTTGCATATATTTTAAAAAACGAAATCTGAGTATTGGATAAAGCCAGGTTGAAAATTATTTTTTCATTGTGTTCACATATTAGATGAGAAAAAAAGCCCTAAAAAAATTATTTTTGCCAAGTTTTTTGGAATATAATGTTATATAAATTAGGCTAGGAATAATATATTTACAAATCGCTCTGTAAATGTCTTCTTAATATAATTAGGTACAAGACTGGAAAGTTTGGTGAAAAAGTTCATTTTGAGAAAACTGGCTTTGAAGATTTAGCATCAGCCAATGAGATCACGCATTTAGAGTTAAAATCCCCCCTTTTACTTTCACGATTGGTTGCTGAAAAAAAGGAAATGACCATATTTGGATCCGACAGCGTTTTACAGGAGAATTTCTTTTTTTTTTTTTTTTTGCATTTGCATTTAGACAAATAAGACTGATTTATGTTTTTATTTCAGGTCATGGAGTAGTTGATTCCTGTCTTCAGTCAGTTGTGGTGTCGAGGGCTGTGGGAGTGGAGCGAGGCAGGTGGAGCAAAGACTAATAAGTGACACCTGTCCCATGAAGGAGCTCCGGAAGGATAAAAGGAGGAGGGATGACAGAGAAGACCACACCTGGGAGATTTACATTCTGTTAATAAATTTATGCCACTTACTTTCTTTTTGTGGTTTATTTGGCTTGAAAGTCATCTTGTGACAATGGATTGTTGAGATTTGACTGTTTATTGACTTGATAATGCACATTGACTTGATTGTTGACGCTTCTTAATGCACAACTTACTTAACAGCACAATTTTCATAGTTGTTTATTTATTTATTTTTGATACATATCATAATTTTATATTTATTTATTTATATATATAATGTTTTATCTTTTACTTGTATAATATGTGTGGCTTTTTAATAATCTAAAGAACACTTGTGGAAGTTCTTTATGGAAACATCAGATCCTTTCTTTTCAAGAGTGTATTATCTGATGTGAGCTTCTTCTTTTTATGAGAACAGAAATGTTGGGTGGGACTTGATGGTTTGCTAGTAAACATATCGTCAGAGAAGAGATGTCATTGCATAAGGAAAGAGATCTTGTTTTGATTAAAGATTATGAGGACACATGAATTTAAAAAAAAAATGATGTGCAAATAAATATTCCATAAAAAACAAGATTTGTCTCTTGTAATTTCAGGGTGACTTTAACACGTGCTTGTTTTATTGTTTATGCCACAAGAGTAAAACGTTTGTATACGTAAATAAGTAGGCTACTTATGGAAATGTTATACTATATATTATCTTGAAAAAGACTAATTCAATTGTGTACTCTAAATGTTGTTTGGACCCCTGAAAATAGCCAGAAATTAATATGTGAAAATAATATTGTAATGTGCCCTGTATTTATGATCACTGTAAATGCATTCAAACTAAATAACTTTTATTTTTAAAGACAAAATATCTGGCTTTTAGTAATGCGTATTTAGAATACATTTTTGTATGATATGTTGTTAGGGGTTAACAATTAAAGGACCCAGAACCAGATATGAAGAATGAAGACCCGGAGTCGGAATTATAAAAATTAAAGAAAGTTTTACTAAACATAGTTTGCCATTTCATCAGCAGAAGTCAGCTTCAAGACTCACTCAGGAGTTCGTAGGCCGCCCCCTTCCAGTTACAACAATCACAGCAGTTATACCATTTTCAAGGTCTAAGCTACGTCATTGCTTACACGTTGAATGATTCTCATTGGCTAAGATATAGATACACAGTAATTTTCCACACATATACAGATAGACGAAGCATATCTCCATCGATGAGGCACGTCATGACCTTCCAGGTCATAGATTTGGGTTGCTGGCGCCAGTGTGTCTAGAACAACAACTCATTCAACCTCCAATAATGGCAGTGGTTGCTTAACCTGCAACCAAGAAGACTAGCACTAAACTTTAGTCTAACTGGAGTAAGACTTCAACAAAGAAATGGTGCCTTAAACTGTTGGATTCAATGACCCCTTTATGTTTTAACACTCAAACATAAACCAAAATCCCTATTTCCCTATTATTTTCACTGTTAACGCATTCACCTAGGACACTAGCAAATAGGAGCTCCCATCAAGGCTGAAGAGAGTCTGAGCGGCTTATTATCAGTTAAGTGTACCAAAACATAATGGTAAAACATTCACTCGTTTGGGAGAAAAACAGATAACATTTGCTTCTCAGAAAGCAAATATAATAGAAAGAATACAGTTTAATATAACAATTAAAGTTCAATATAGCAATGCTCAATATAGCTTGACCATATGTATAGAGAAGTATCCTATGTGTTGGATATATGTGTTCATGACGCCTTTAGGATCCATAAACCTTTCTCCTGAGACCAGAGAAAGAGACAAATGGCCTTGTGCACCTAAAAGAAGCTGGTGACTTACATCAACATGCATTTAAGAATATTGTGAACTCGAATAACATATCAAAGTCCAGAAACTTCTTTTCGATCAAGTTTAATAACAAAATTAACTGGAAAATGTTACACGGTCAAAAAACTGTGTCGCTCCAACATTGCTTCACAAAAAACTAACCGTCACTGCCGGAAATGACATCATCGTCAATACAAAAAATATTATATTACACAAATCAAATTATTTACTCCTATCTATTTATTGATTGCTTAATGTATACAATATTTATTTCACATCTATGTAAAGAAAAGTGACTTGGCTCTAACACATCCGGCCCCTAATTGGTTGGTAAGGAGACCAAACAATTACTACAAACATCCTAATACTAAAGAGCCCTTAGACTTGAACATGTATACATAAGAATTAACTTCCAACCTTTCCTTAGATTATCATACTCTTGATAATTCTATGTTAGTCTGTTAGTCTTAAATTGCCTCTTGAATTAAGCACAATTTATTTACCGGTCTCTCCAGTGTACTTGTTTTGGTCTTTAGTTTTACACGACGTACAGTTCCACTGGAGTCTGGTAAAGTTTGAACTACTCTTCCCATTATCCATGAATTGCGAGGGGAGGAACTGTCCACAACTAATACCACATCACCAGGTACAAAGTTCCTTTTTAATCTTGACCATTTGCTGCGTTCCTGAAGAGTGGGCAGGTACTCACGAGTCCATCTTATCCAGAACAAGTCTGCTAGATACTGTACTTGTCTCCAGCGTTTTCTTACATATTGGTCTTCCTTGTTAAAGACACCTGGTGGTAAGCTTGGTTGTGTTTTCAACAACAACAAATGATTAGGCGTCAGAGCCTCAAGGTCATTTGGATCTTCTGATGTACTAGTTATTGGTCTGTTGTTGATGATACTTTCCACTTCACACATGATGGTATGAAGACTGTCTTCATTGATAGTCTGTTCCTTTAAGAGAGCGTTGAGTATCTTTCTTATGGTGCGGATTTGTCGCTCCCAGACACCACCTTGATGAGAAGCAGTTGGACTGTTGAAGATCCATTCGATCCCTTTTTGTAACAGTGTATTTTCGATTTTGTTATGGTTCAAATTTCTCAGTGCTTCTCGCAACTCTCTTTCTGCGCCGACAAAATTTGTACCGTTGTCTGAGCGCATGACTGACACCTGTCCTCTTCTACTTATAAAACGCCTTAAAGCATTTATGCATGAATCAGTGTCCAGACTATCAGCAATCTCAATGTGTACTGCTCTGATTGTTAGGCAAGTGAACAACACTCCATACCTTTTCACAGTGTTCCGGCCCCGTTTTACATCGAAGGGTCCAAAGAAATCTACGCCCACATTCGTGAAAGGGGGTTTGTCAGGTAGCAAGCGGTCTTCTGGCAAACTTGCCATTTTTTGCTCTCCAATTCTTCCATTGAATCTGCGGCAAACAGAGCATTTATGTATAAGCTTCCGAATTGCTGAGTTGGCTTGCGGGATCCAGAATTTTTGTCGGAGAGTAGATAACATGTAGTTTCTACCACAGTGACCACATCTTTGATGAATGTCGTTTAGAATGAGAATTGAAACCCTGGAGGCCTTTGAGAGGATTGCGGGATGTTTAGATTCCTCCGGCATGGCTGCTCTGTTAAGTCTCCCACCCACTCTTAGTATCCCATCTTGAAGCACAGGATCAAGCTTGTACAGCTGACTTTTCCTTTTAACAGGAATATTCTGTTTCAGAGCCTCAATTTCATTCTGAAATTGTTGTTTTTGACTGTATTGAATTAACTGGATTTCAGCTTCATTCAAGTCCTTCAGTCTCAGTGACTTTTTCTCCATAGTTGATCTGAATTTTCGCATCTGCTCCTTTAAGAGGAACGATTGTTTTTCTGGGTCTTTTTCTGATTGTGCAATGGATTCTTGAAACTGTCTTCTTGCTTTAGACAATTGTAACAGTGTTTCCTTGAGTCTTAGCATCCATGCCACTGCCTTTTTCAGACGAAACCAGCTTGAGTAGTAATGAGTTAACTTACTCAGAACATCATTGTTTTCTCTCAAGTCGAGAATATTGACCTTGAACTCTTTTTTGATTTCAGGATCTGATTGAATATTTTGACACAAACGATCCGGTCTTTGTGGCCATTCTTCTTCTGGTTTCAACAAAAAGTCGGGTCCTTTAACCCATGTTTCCTCTTGTATAAAGTCCTTTGCTTTAAGACCTCTGGTGGCTTGATCTGCAGGGTTTTGTGATGTCCTGACATACCTCCACTGTAATGGAGTAGTAGCATCTCTTATTAGTGAGATCCTGTTCGCTACAAATGTTTTGAAGCGTGCACTCTCACTGTCGATGTAGTTAAGCACGGTAGTGCTGTCTGTCCAGAAAACGGACTGCTGTAGTGGGATTTGAAGCTCTTGTCTTAGTATTTTGTCCACTTTGACAGCTATGGTTGCTGCGGTCAGTTCAAGTCTAGGGATTGTGATTTGCTTGAGTGGGCTAACTCTTGACTTTCCCATCAACAAGGAACAATGTTTTTGATTTTGCTCATTGGAAAGTACCAGGTAAGTGACTGTGCCGTAAGCATTCTCGCTGGCATCAGAGAAATGATGCAGCTGTGCTTCTGATGTATTACCAAACTTCTCTGGTTTTACGCACCTTTTGATCTGGAAGTCTGAGAGGTGATTTAGGTCTTCTAGCCATTTGACCCACTGATCAGCACGCTTGCCCTCAATCTGTTCATCCCATCCATATCCTTGTTTGCACATGTCCCTTAAAAGGAGCTTGACTGGCAGGATGAGTGGCACCAGAAACCCAAGAGGATCATAGATTGAATTAACAACCGAGAGAATACCCCTTCTACTCAACGGCTTCTCCTGTACCTTGATGTCGTATGTGAAGGTGTCTTTTTCTGTACACCACTGCATGCCAAGTGCTCTCTCGATGGGCAGAGAATCCTGATCCAAGTCCAGGTCCTTTACCCCACTGGCCCTTTGTTCTTCTGGGATGGATAATAATACTTTCCTACTATTGCTTACCCACTTTGTTAAGCAAAAACCTCCTTCAGCACACACATTTCTAACATCCTTTGCTAAGTCAATTGCTTCTTGTTCTGTAGACACAGACTTCAAACAGTCGTCCACATAAAAATTGTGCAAAACTGTTTCGACAGCCTTTGGAGATGCTACCTCTTTTCTGTCCTCTGCTGTCCTTTTCAATGCATAAGAGGCACAGCTAGGTGATGAAGCGGCTCCGAATATATGCACCATCATCCTAAATTCTTCTATAGGTGCATCCAGCTTGCCCTCTGGCCACCAAAGAAAGCGAAGCAGATCTGCGTCCTCCTCTGGAACCCTCACCTGATAGAACATTGATTCCACATCAGCCATCATGGCTATAGGTTCTTCTCTAAACCTGGTAAGGACACCAATAAGTGTGTTTGTGAGGTTTGGACCCTGTAACAATTGACCGTTCAGAGACATGCCTTGGAATGAAGCAGTACAATCGAAAACCACTCGAATTTTCTTTTTCTTTGGGTGGTACACCCCGTGGTGAGGTATATACCACACTCTGCTGTCGCTGCGACCAAGCTGTTCTGTGGGAATTTTAACTGCATATCCTTTCTCTATTATGCTCTCCATGAAGCTACTGTAGTCTTCAAGCAAACTTGAGTTCTTTTGAAGCTTTCTCTTCAGGTTAGCTGCACGCAGTTCAGCAACATTTCGATTGTTTGGCATCTTGACTGCTTCATTTTTCAATGGCAGTTTCACACAGTAATGTCCATCCTCAAACTTAGTCTTTTCTTGCACTACTTGCATGAATTGTTTGTCCTCCAGGGACATTACCTCTTTCTCTTCATACTGGCGCTCTGGATAATCAGTATTGTACTGCTGAATCAACAATTGCTCTATTTCCACCACTGAGAGCCGATTAACTGAATGATGTGGCAATTTGGACCTTTGTGAAGTGTTGCTTTCTTTTTTGATGGGTCCATTCACTACCCATCCTAGTGCAGTTTTTACAGCATACGGTCCATCTTGTTGGCTGTTGATGATGTACCACGGTTCCATTGCCTTTGAATTGTTGGCTCCAATTAGAAGATCTACATTTGAATCGATATTGGGTATGCTTACTTGACTTAGGTATGACCATTTTCTGATGTCTTCTTGGTTAGGAATGTTCTCATTTTGAACAGGAATACTGCTGTGTGTGAAGACTTTTGGTAACTCAAAGTACTTTGTTTCTTCCAACGCGCACACTTCCAAGTCTGTGAGGATGAAACTGTTTACTAATTTCTGCTCTCCTGGCTTGTCTTGACACATAGTGCTCAGCAGAATCTGAGTTGGTTTCCCCTTCAGGTTCAGTTTCCTTTGCAATTCCTCCGTACAAAATGTAGCTGTACTTCCTGCATCCAGGAAAGCATAAGTTTCTACAATTCTGTCGCCCTTGTTTGACTTAACCTTTACTGGCACAATTGACAGCACACAGTTATCTCCTCCATATTCTGTTTTATCGCTTGATTGGTGGTTAAGAGAGACTTGGGCACATGAGATTTTCCTGTCTGGTAGTTCAACATCTTTGGTTTCTTTTCGATTCTCCTTTATGTGTAGAATGTCTGGGTGTTTTTGGGAACATTCTTTACATTCCATTCTCTTTTTGCAAGATTTGCTGATATGGCCTTGAGTTAAACCACTTAACTGTCACGGTCCCACAGGTGGGACGTTTGCCACTATATTTTTAAAACAATAATATCTTAGTAAATACTTTAAATAATATTGACAAACTATATATCATTTGAAAGCTTACAATCTCTAGTTTCCATATTTGGTGACTGATTTTCAAAATATATTACAGAGGAGCCATAATTTATCAATATAAAACAAGAATATTTTCATACTCATAAGGCGTGTTCAGACCTTTATTTTAAAATAGCAGTAAACATGAAAAATCATAAAAAATGGTAGATACCTCAGTTTGTTTTCATGCCAAAAGTTCAAAAGATAGAATCCATTCAATTATTTTGGAAAAAAAAGGTCTGAAAAGTTTGAAATATCAAGAAAAAAATAATAAATTCACCATTTGTGACGTGGCAGCTAGCTATGACTTGCATGCGTGTTCTTTGTATGTGTTTCTTAGAGGTTCAATTCATATCAAAATCTGCCAAACTTCCCATGCTACTTCTGAATAGGATCTCTACTTCAGAAATTGTATAAAAATTGTGAAAATAATGGTTCATATCACTCAAAAAACGAATGGAAATGCAGGCGCCCTTATATGGGCAGTAATGGAGTCTGATTGTGCCCTAGTGAAAAAGTTTGGTACTGCGCTCAAACAAAATCTTACTGAAAGCTCATTTTTTGAGATATCAACCTAAAATTTGAAACAAAACTTGTTCATATTTTTGGCTTTGATCTTTCTGACATTTTAGAGTAGCCCAGGTTTTGAAAATATATATTTTATGTAAAATATGAATAATTAATATTTTTACATTGTACATTTCCATAAACTCAAACTTCTATAACTTTTTTTCTGTTTCACTTTCTTAATTTATTTCACTTCTACAAAAATCTGCCAAATGTCTTCTTTAAAACAAGACCAATCATATGTCTATATTCCAAAGCATTCTTGAATTACAACCATTTAAGTTCGAAATGTGCATTTTCATGTCTATTCAAAAAAGGGGGGGTGACAGTTAAATGAACACTGAAGCAGTGTTAAAGTTAATTAGATAATTAAGTGAATAATTGAGTGATGATTGAGCATTATTGAAGACACCTGATGTTAACAAGCAGAATCACTGAATGAGAAAAACAGAATTTTAAGTCACCATTATGGAGATTAGTGTTTGCTTTAGTTGGGCTCTTGACCCTTATTTCTTTAACTTTAGATTTTGTTTGGCTGCTGTACATGAGTTATAACAGCCAGATGAACAAATAGAAAAGGTGATCTGATGGTGATGTGTTTTAACACAATCATTTAACCCGAATCACTGAATTCATATAGAATCTAATTTCTGAGTGAGGTTTACTTTATTAATTATAGCAGCAGTGACCTTGTCCAGCATAATATTCTCAATATCTACAGAATATTCAAAATAATTTCTTAAAAGCTTTTATATAATTTTTTACTTCTTTACAATGTTAAGACACACAGACATCAATAATTAGCCTGTGAATCTCAACAATGGTAACAGTTATAAAGCATGTTGAATTCTTGGTGCCACCAATCAAAACTCATTCATGGCTCCCATCATGCATTGCTGCATGAATAAATAATGAGCTTATGTTCAGAGGTGATCTGTTTGCCACCATTGCTGAGATTAGTGTGTTAATTCTTGATGTCTGTGTATGCCTTTATAAAATATTTTTGGGATATTTTTTTATTTAATCATTTTTCATTGAAAATGTTAAAAATGTTATGTCCTAAAATGACCATGCTGCTAAAATCCTTAAGGTAATTTTAACTTAGAATTGATGCTCTTGACAAGTTTAGCAATTCAGGTCAATTGATGATTGTGTTGAAACACAACCAACACCATCATATCACCTTTTTTCATCTGGCTGTTTTAAGTCACAGACAACAGCCAGACAAAATCTAAAGTTAAAGAATTAAGGGTCAAGAGCCCAACTAAACCAAACACTAATCTCCATAATGGTGACTTAAAATTTCTGTTTTTCTCCTTCAGTGATTCTGCTTGTTAACATCAGGTGTCTTCAATGATGCTCAATCATCATTCAATTATTCACTTAATTATCTCATTAACTTTAACACTGCTTCAGTGTTCATTTAACACTCTGCTCAGAGTTTATATAATTCTCACTTCTCGGTGTTAATTTAACACTCTCAGTGTTAATTTAACACTGGGGATTTTGCTGTGAAGAAAGGTCAGAGCGTGGCAATTATAATTCTCCAAAGTAAACTAGGAATTCATTAGTAGCCTAACCATAGAAAATAAGGACGCATGAACAAGGAGATATTCATTTTAATGCAAAATATGCACCATTTATTTTAAATATATTTTTTAAACAGTTACAGTGCAACAAAACCCTATGTAATGTAACACTCAATTTGAAGAGCTCTTTTTCAAAACGCGATAAACGCCATTTTTAAAAAAAAAACGAGTTTGTCGTGTCATTTCATGCCAAATGAAAGCGCCAGCCCTGTTTTTAGCCTAAACACGATAAATCCTCAAATTCAATGAGCGTTCCACGCAATCCAGCACGGCGGCAATCTGAACAGAGGTTTATTATGTTCATTTATTCCTCAAAATGAGTCCTAGTTTTCTAGTCGACTAGTAGTAGATCATTTAAGCCATTTGTATTATCAGTAATCACATATATTGATTTAATTAAATGGGAGAGAAACCATATGAGCGTTTTTAATTGCCTATTCCGCATTTCAACGTATGCATAAAGCTTGCCACAAAGAACCGGCAAAAGTAATGATTATGCATGAAACATTTGAATTGTTTATTAATAAACTAGTGTTTTCTGTCAGTGTCAGCAACAAAGATAAAGTTGATGATGCTTACTCGCCATCTTCGCAGTGAACGCGCATAGGCCTATAGAAACGCATACTTCGAATTAGCCTACATACGCAGAGAGTTGCCAATTTATTTTAGTTTTTAATTGTTTTGTTTAAAAGTAGATATTTAAAGCTTTCTGTAGCCTAGTTCTCAGGCCTGTGTGAGGCAAGCATCGCGGTGTTTCGGTTCATATTATGAGACGCGCTCCGGTTCACCTGCGCGCCTCTGTGTCCTGATTATATTGTCTGATATTTACTTCTAATGTATTAATCTAGTCAATTTGTCGATGAAACATTTATTAAAATGAAGATACAATTTATATGAAACGAAATTTACAAGCTTTCTACAAAACAAAACTTAATAAGTGGTCAAAATCATGTCTGACGCACTCCAAATATTTTCCGATATTGGGCAGCTTTTGAATTTTGATCCTATCTTACTCATCTCATGCGGTTCCCTTTTCATAGCCTACTCAACATATATGAAATAATAAAAATAAGTAATTTAATATTATTAAAAACAAATGTGAAACGTATATTTTATGTTTATTTTGTTTTTTGTTTTTTTTAACTTATATTTAAGCGTCATGCTGCTCCGCTTTGCTCACATGTTATGTAGCCTGTGTGTTTGTGTGTGCATGTGCTGGAGGGGTGCCCATCCCTTTTTTGAATATCGTTATCATATATTGATCATTTTCAATAATTCGTTTTTTTCATGCATATGTTGAAATTGTTACTATTTATTTGAGGTTGCTGCCTCGAAACAGACAGATGCGTTAGGGCGAGTTTATCCTCCGCTAATTTCTGACACAGAGTGACGAGTGGATGAGCGATTGTAAATGACAGATCGAACTCGGCAATGAAGGAGCACAAGCGAATTTTTAAATCAGCCACACGATCGGTCATTGAGGGTCGGATATCTGCTGTGGCTGTTGCCCCCGGCAAACGTGAGGTGTGTTGAATCGCTCGGACAGCTGCTTGATGACTAGGGTCTAACTCGTGCCGTGGCAGCACTTTTTTCCCGCTAGTTCCATATAATATTTTCCTTGCACACAAAGTGCAGAAACATGCTCCTGGTTGCCGGAGTTTTTGACACCAGCTTCCAAAGGGCTTTTCGTCTCTACCCACCTCTTCTATCCAAGACCAGCGCCATTTATTCTTTATGCCTTTATCGACAAGTTTGGTGTCTTCCCCCGGCTTCATAAAGTTGCGCTCCATGACTTCGGCTAGATTTCGCGCTGCCAGTGTGGAAAACGCACAAAAAACTGATCGCACGTGAAGTGACTACTGATTCAATTTGATTGGCCAAAACCCAAGACCAGCCCCTACCCTATTGCCGATTGGCTGAAGTAAGGTTACATATGTGGTTTAGTGCGCAAACCTGTTTTTTTTTTTTCCCCAGACACGTCTGAACGCCGGAAATCCGGCGTGGCGCCGGAGCGCTATCAGGCATGCACTGGTGCAACTGGAGAATTTGAGCTCACATACTCAACTTTAAACACTCTCTCTGAGAGATACGATCTAAACCATTTTAATGCAGTGCCCTTAATCCCCACGCTGTACTCAAGACGCGAGATAAGAACACTGTGGTCAACCGTATCAAATGCTGCTGTAAGATCTAAGAGCATCAGAATTGTAGGATCACCAGAATCTGTTGAAATCAAAAGGTCGTTAAAAACTTTTAAAAGTGCAGTCTGTGTGCTATGAAAAGTTTTGAAACCAGACTGGAACACCTCAAGAATACCATGCAGATCTAAATAGGCTTGTAACTGCACCAGAACTACCTTCTCTAAAATCTTGGACATGAAAGGAAGTTTAGAAATCGGACGATAATTTGAGAGAACTGAAGTGTCTAGATTTTGTTTTTTAATAAGGGGCTGCACCACAGCCTCTTTAAAACAAAGTGGCACATAACCAGAAGTAAGGCTACTGTTTATGATTGTTTGAATATATAATCCAATACTGTTCCATACCTTTTTAAATATACGTGGTGGAATAATATCAGTGGAACAGATTGACGGTTTTAAATGGTTTAAAATATCATTAAGGGCCACGATGGAAACAGGCTCAAACTCACTGAAGACTGCAGCACACTCAGTAAAAATGGAAGGATCAGAGGCTGGAGGTGAAATGCTAGCTCTAATAGTGGTGATCTTAT